ATTGTCCTTTTTACAACTGCCATTCCTATAGGAGGTGGACCAGTCGGCTTTTTGCTTTCTTTTTTCAGATCCTGCTTAAACTGAAAAAAGACAATATAATGGGTTTTAACCGTATGCTTCGTTGGGTTTCTTGTATAGGTAATTTAATAAATGTTTATCCAAAGCAGGAATGCTTGTAGTCTTATAACTATTGACGATGCAATAACGATATACAACTTTCAACTTAAAAATAACTGAAACTCGGGAAGAAATGTCAAGCTGACAACTGACAACAGGAAAACGTACCTCGTGACGTCACCAATAGCTGAAATAACCGCGTTATGTTTTTGGTAGGAAAATGTCCAGTTCAAATTTTAATTATTCATTCAATTAATTAAAAAAATATCCTCAAAGACCCTATTGTCGACCTTCGAAACTTGGCCTCAAGTATTGAAAGCGCTCGTTCATTAATATTCTAATATTTCCACGGTATTTTCTATTTTGCTTTTGCCAAGAATCAAAATATCGTAAAAGTTAATTTTTGCAATACTTTTGATATGGTTGACATTTACGTTTTTGCAAATTACACAATATGGCCAAAAAAAATTTAGGTCGCAATTTTTGTCCCAAACGAACCGATCTTACCTATTCCGAACCCCGTACAGTTCCGGTTAAAAATCAAGTTGCTCAATCAAGGAGGGCGGGCTGTTTGATATTCCTTCGGCGTCGCGACGGCCGCGCAGTAAATAAAGATATGGTCTACGTGAATCGCCTGCCGCCAGCCGCCATATATATTGTTTTGCCGCTCCTCGGGTTTTCATTAAACGCGGACGATGTCTTATTTCGGTGTGAATTTGCCAGATTGCCGTAATAAATTTTTATATATTTCTCGACCTTCGACGCCATACACCGTGATTGTTCGGAATTTCGCCCCGTCTGCACTATCACGATGACACGCCCCGCAATGGAACTAGTCCGTGTTAAATGTTGGACTTGGGACCAACTAATTGGTTGAGAAAATGGAAAACGTCGGCCCTCTCTTAAAAATTGTTTTTCAGAAAACGAAAACCTATTTTATCATTTTTACAGATGTTCGTAACTAACTGTTTCTAAGAACATAAATATAAAAATATTACCAAAATTTCAATTTTTTATTGCTCAAACTAAGGTGGATTCTATAGAAGTTATAATTTCTTTAAACTCGTTCTTTATTCATGAATTTTGGACAATATTTTGTACTTGTATTGTATTTTATTTTGGTTTATAGTCTACTCAAAAAATGACATTAAAAGTTTGAGATTTGTTAGATGTGCCCGATAACATCACAATGTTGTAAATTGAAATTAGACATTCTTGAATTGCAGAAGAGTTATTTTAGGTTATTTAGCTACATTAACTAAATGTTTTTGTTGTGCTTTTTATAACATGTAAAATGTCTATTATTCGTTGTCGAATTTATATTTAAGTCAAATATTACGCGTTATCTGACAATAAATACCTTTTCAATATTTTGGATGACCTTACCTTAGGACATATTTCGTTTTTCTATTCTTTTTCTTATATTATAATACAATTTAAAAAATGAACTGCTATTTCTATAAATTTCCACAAGTTTAAGATTATTTTAACACCATTTTATTTTACATTAGCCCAAATTGTCAAAATAACATAAGAAATATTATACAACACCAAAAAATATAATACCATTAGACTATACAGAGGGCGACTATAATGCCCTAGTATAAAAAGAGAGTAATAACGTATTGGTATAACTCTCAAATACTATACCACTACAATGACGTGGCTGTAACATGTATTTGACTTTTTGGTACCATTTTTTTAGAGATCTAGAGAAAGCTCTGTTAGACTGATTTATTTTTACTCCTAATTTTAGTACTTGAACCAGAAAATATGATCCTCTTCCGTTTCCTGTAGTTATTTCACGATATAGCTGTTGTTAACTTTTGAGTAGTGCCAAAATGATATAAGAAATATTATCCAACATTAAAAAATATAATACCATTACACTAGGCAGAGGGCGAATATAATGCTCTAGAATTAAAAGAGAGTAATAACATATTGGTTTAACTCTCAGATACTTTATCACTATAACGTGGCTCTAACATGTATTTGACTTTTTGGTACCATTTTTGATAGAGATCTACAGAAATCTCTGTTAGACTGATTTATTTTTACACCTAATTATAGTAGTTGAACCAGAAAATATGATCCTCTTCCCCTTGCTGTAGTTAATTCACGATGTAGTTATTGTCCACTTTTATGTAATGAAATATTATCCAACAATAAAAAATATAATACCATTAGACTATGACGCAGAGGGCGAATATAATGCTCTACAATTAGAAGAGAGTAATAACATATCGGTTTAACTTTCAGATACTTTATCACTATAATGACGTAGCTCTAACATGTATTTGACATTTTGGTACCATTTTTTCTAGAGATCTAGATAAATCTCTATTAGACTGATTTATTTTTACACTTAATTTTGCTTTCCTGTAGTTAATTCATGTGAACCTATTTAAATAATAGAAACAAACTTATTGATTATTTTTAGTTCATTTTGTTCAAATAGGTTTAGTTAGTTAGGTTAAGTACGTTCACCGTGTAGGTAGAACAGACACCATATGTTTACCTGTCCCTATCCAATTTTTGACAGCAAATAAGTTATCATAGTTGTCGTGGAATTTCTGCTGACCTGCAGTCGCCCATACGGCATTGTTCCATGGTAGATAATAGAAAAACTCCCTTATCGAGCTGGGGTTGATCTTATTTAAAATTGAAAAATATGTACGAGATGCTAGAAATTTAGTTTTTGCTAAGCCTCAATTATAACCTTTACCTTTATTAACCTAGGGTTTACGCATGCAGTGTGGAGATACATAGATGACTGATGACTAATCTTTCTTAAAATGCATGTACAACATAGTTTACGCCGGTTTGCAGCTCACCACAAAAAAATGCATAGTACAACAACGATTACTTTGAACTTCTTTGAAATATATAGTTCAAACTAATCTGTCAAAAACGGATTTTCTAAAAATGTTCGAAAAATATATGTGTTAAATAGGAGGGTCGTCTTGATTCAAATATTATATATTAAACTAACAACGGGGCCTAACAATAATTATATTGTGTAGTGCTTAATATTTCCATTACTTTAACAAAAATAAAAAAATATATATTGGGTTGTAGTACTGTTTAAGAAAATACTTAATTCAAATTTGGAATTTTCAGTTTTTTTTTTCGGATTTGAACTGCGTTTGTTATGGTTATGTTTTAGAAAATTCCAAGTGACTTTTCTAAAAAATATATATATATAAAAAAATGCCAAATATGCCAGGCAATTTTGAGTGTCACTATCGAATCAACTAAATACTTATAGTAGAAAAGAAGCACAGAGATATCAAAAACAAAAATTCTTTATATAAGAATCTCTAATGCATCCTCTAAGAATATTTGTTATTATAAGACGAGCATATATTGAACAATTTTCTGAATTTTCAAGCCCAATACTAGCGAGGACTGGCAATATCTGACATTTTTTAATACTCCTCAAAACACATTTCAGTCAAAATAGTTACAAATAAGATGTCTATCTCTTCAAAAAATGAATTTAATTTTGCCTACCAAAAAATCCTATAAATTTTTTCCTCTTTCGTGTTTTTTCATATTACTATACAGCTTCAATTAACCATCAAAAAATATAAACACATTTTTTAGAATGTGTAGATTAAGTTGATTAAGACACCGAAAAAATTAGAAAAATGTTACTTAAGATTTCTGGTCAAATATTATTGAGGTCGGTAGTATGACGTCGTATGACGTCAGTGCTAAGTCAAAATGCTTGTCGAGTATTTTCATTATTATTAAACACTCATGTTCTTTGAACTTTTGTTTTTGGTTGACAAACAAAAAAACTTTCTTATTATTATTATTCTTGTTATTTGGAGAGGAAGGCTTATTAGATTTTTAATCGTACGATAATATCCTCATTGACATTTAAATAAGTCTCCAAACGATAAATTTATAAAATAATTTAATAAAAAAAAACACACATTTTACTAAGAAGTTTTAAACAACCATATTCATGAAGTCCAGTTAAGCAAAGCCTCACCGATAGATGCGTGATATGTACGTATAGAACGTCAAACGGGGATTATCTACATATATAGAAATACAAGCTCCACAGTAATTTTTCAATTATGCATTCGTTGTAAAACGCACGTCAAACGTCACACATAGTTTTTATAACCTTTAAGGTGTTCCTCAAGGACCCCCCCCCCCCCCGTAACCAACGTTAACCTTTTGTAGAAGACGTTATCGTTTTGAATGATAAGATTAAAATTTGACATGGGCGTCCGAATACAAGAAACATTTATCTCCCTTTAATTTTCACAATGTTATTTCCAACTTTTGAAATAATATTGTAACGGAGAGTGTGGGGATCGACAGATTTTGCTTGTACACCTTGAAATAGCCTACATAGTCACTAAAAATAGGGGGAATATTGGAAAAACCAGAGCGATCAAACTGCTACGCAGTCAAAAATAGACAGCAATTCTGGTGTAAGATATGACGTTACTATTACGCTTGGACCAACTCTGCTGACCTATGAAAGTATAATAAAATCTTCATGACTTACATCGCCAGCGTTACTAACGTCATTCAAACCACAAGCAAAACCGGCGCCCTGATCTATGACATCTTTCGGACAGCGCTAAAAAATCTTTGGTTCACCTAGTGATATATACCCGTCGAAAATGGGATGTGTATGTACAGACTTACGTAAAACCTACCATATATTCTATATATGGTAAATAGAATCACAGATTATGATAAAAAAATGCTCATGAAGGCGTCCAGCACACGTGTGGAAATTGTCCGAGACCTGTCGCTCTTCCGTCCAACGTTTGGCGACCGTACTGATGATGCCCAAGAGACGTTTCGGGCTCCTTCGCGACAGGGATTTCGGCCAGCGCGGCGGAACTCCCTCCAGCTTGACACTATGTGACTATGGGCCGTAGCTCGGTGTGTTGCGTCTCCTTGTGGCGTCGCAAGTCCACCTTGCGTTGGAACGCGCGTCCGCAGAGGTCGCAGGCGAAGGGCTTGAAGCCGGTGTGCTTCCTGGAGTGCGTGATCAGGTTGGAGGATTGGCTGAATGCTTTGCCGCAGACGGTGCACTTGTGGGGTTTCTCGCCTGCGAACAAGACAAAACAACTTAGTTAAACACTCTAAATTATTAAATTCATATTTATTAAATTATCAAAATGTAGGTTTTTATGGGTATAAGTTTTATACACTCATAGCTCTCTGAGTTTTAAAACAGGTTTTTTGACTTTTCTAAGTATTTAATTTAATTTTGTATTATATACAATATTATTTTAATTTAATTATATTACTTTTAAATTAAATTATTAAATAGTAAAAAATAGTAAAGTAAAATATACAAATTTTAATACACAATTTATATGTAGGGTCTGTGTAATATTTCACTAATTTCTCATTTGTTTCAAAGGTCTAAAAATTGCTTTTTATCAACCATAAAATGCCTCCAAAATCGAGAGCTTAGAACTACAATTTGTTTATAACCCCGCATTTTTGTATACCTGATATATGAGAGATTTATTTATTTAATATCCGATAGCGCAGGTTTAATAGGCATCTTGCAAAAACCCGTTTTCATACTTCCTTAATGACGTTATGTTCGATGAAGTTAACTATAAAACGGCTATTTTAAAATTGGAAAAAATAAATTATATATACGATGTCTAATTATAACTGTGTAACGATACATGTGTGATTTTTTATTTATTTTAAACGTCTAAAATTTGCTTCTCGTGATGGCCTCAAAAACGTTTTCAAAATGTCGATACAAATCAATTTTTGATATACCTAAAGCGTTAGAAATGTTTTCATTCAAAATTTGAAAACGCAGGGTTAAGCGGGAATATTTCAAAAACCCGTTTCTATATTTATTTTCTTAATAAAAACATAAGATCCATAATAAACAAGTTGTCTCTGTAATGATGCTTGGATAATTTTTCGTTGGCTTTAAAGGTATAAACTTTACTTCATGTAACTCATAAAATGACCAAAATGAGGACCCAGAGCCCTTAACTATATATTTTTTTATAATACCGATTTTTATTATTAGAGATTTTTTTTGTTTAAACTCTTATAATGCAAGGCGAATCAGCATCTTTCAAAACCCACTTTCTATATATGAGCCCAAAAGTGGGCCATTAATTATCAGCCAATCAATTATCAATTAAAAAAGAAACAACAAAATTTGATAGTAATGTATAATAACACATTTTTTCATTCTGAGATAAAAATACGTAAGTTTAGAGAAAAAGTTGCTTCTGATTTTGCTACCAAAAATACAAATTGAAAATTAAATACCAAAGTTTCCATTGGTTTATAGCAGATCTGACAACACCGAATTTGTTAAAATTATAACTTGTTACGATTTTATGCTAATTTATAAAAAGCCCTCTTCGTCAGTTCTTCAAAACTTTGAATAATACAGTCAATGTAACGTTAATCAGATCAAACGCTACGCATCTTTCAAGTCGTGATTTGATGCTTTTCGAAATCTCTTAGCTGCTTATACAACAAACAAATAAAACGGGCAAGGAAATCAAAGCATAGTAATCTCAGGTACTGGGTAATTTTGTGCGCTTCGGAGGAATTGTAAAAGTAACAGACATTGAATATCATTCGGCATCACTTGCAATAAGGGCAACCCAACAATTCAACTTTCAAAGTTCTTCCAATTCAAACTTTGATATATTGAGAATTTTCTTTTGAGATGATATCAGAAAACGAAATCTAATTGCAAGGTTGCAACCGCAAACGTTTAAGTTAATCAACTTTTCAAAACTCTTTCAAAAATTCAATCAATTATTAAATTTAAAAAAATATTTTTTCGTAGGTGATTCGCACCCTATTCTGTAAATAAAAGTAATTCTGTTGAGCTTGTAATTAAATAAATAAATAAAATTAGGACTCTACACATTACTACAAATATAAATAAGAAAATTATATATGAATCCATTAAATATCTAGTCATAACTCCGAATCGCCATTTAAAGTTCACCCTAATGAAGTAACTAAACAAAATAACTAAATTTAAACGTTTAAAAGAATTTCTAGACAGCAGACTCCTAAAGGTACTTAATTCCTCACTGATTGAATCACAGCTTCCAGTTACATAGACTAGGTGTTTAGCTTAGAATAATGGATTGTAATATGGATTCTTGAGAAGCAGTTCACAGGTGAGTCACAAAACGAGAACCCAAAAACTTTCCAAAAAAGTTAAAAACAAATGGACACTCATACTTTCCAAATTTTGCTCCGGGGGCTTACAGTTTAAAATAAAAAATTACAAAAATCAATTTTAAATCAAAAATAAAAACTTTGATTCAGCAAACAGCGATAAAAATTTATTTTTTGTGACTATTCTCTCTATAACTATAAGATAAAATCAAGAAAGTTACATTGAACAACCCAACTAGTTACCTAACATTAACGGATAGAACATTATCCCGTATATTCAAGCAAATTATCTTCTGTTTCAGCTGTCACTTTTAGACTAATTAAATTTTAAGGTTGTATTTCGAAATTATGTCAGTTGTTTATTTTTCAATACTACAAAATAAATAATGAGTGTTTATGTATGTATTCTTTTAAAAAATGGGAATAATACTACTTGGTCATCCTTGGAAATGTTAATCATACTGCAATGGATTGGCTCTAAACAGGTAAAAACCCACTCAACTATATTCGTAGTTTCTTTCCAGTTTTAAATCTAAAATCAGAAGCATACAAAATAAAAATCTAGTCATGCCTTATGTGGAGTCAAGTTTTCAACTCACCTTGTACATTTCATGGAGCCGAGTGTATTTTTGTAAGGCGATCTAATTAATACAATCATCAACGTTCATTTTATAATTTAATTTATCTTCCAAAAACATATTTGATTATGTTATTTGATATTTCACTAGATTTGCATGGTTCGTATTTGTACTCGGTAGTTATCAGCAACAACAGGGTTAGGTTGGTTATTGGTGTAACCACGCTTTTACTAGTCGTTAACTAAGAGAGAAATTTTTAATATTCCATGATCTGAAATGTACCAATATTGAATGTAACCTATCGCAAATATCAAGCAGGCGCTGTTGGGAACTCATAAATTTTCCAATGTGGACTTTGTCCATCGGGATATGTTGGGTTTGTTTTGGGCAGTTTAAATTCACAGCGAACTGAAACTCTCTCTCTCGACACAGTTTACGATACTGTTCAAATAAAATTATCTCATCTTTAACGGTTTTTCATTTATGGTCAATAATTTGCCCACAAAACGGAAATTTTTAGGATCCTAAACGACACACCCTGTATATGATTCAAACAATGTTATAGCCCTGGATCTTCCATGTATCCTGGTTCAAGAATTTTTTGAAATTAGTAAATGGTTTTCGAGAAAATAAGTTTTTTCTGAAACCATGCAGTGCGTCGTAATAATCAATGACGTCATCGCGTCTTGACAGCCCCCGAAATAACGATTTCATTAAGGATTTTTTCAAATATCCCGAGCAGCGTATGTGATAGACGAAAACCGCAAATACAAAAATTGTAGCTCTTGTTGCGGCCTATGACACCGTTTGAACCAATTAGACATATTTTTTACGATTTTTGATTTGCGACTAATAATTTACTCTGTAAAAGAACAATTTTCTGGTTCTTTTAGATTTTTGCCAATAATTTGAAAACCAATTAGACATATTTTTTACGATTTTTGATTTGGGACTAATAATTTGCTCTGTAAAAGAACAATTTTCTGGGTCCTTTAGATTTTTGCAGAGTTGCAAGATTTTATGGTTATAGATCAGGATTTGCCTACAACAGCAGACTTGGCAGACGAAGCCATATTACAACAAGAAAGAAAGGGTGAGGAAGAGCACCAAGAGGAAGAAGAAGATGAAGAAATTGATCTGGGGCCACCACCAACCATTCAACAAGCCCTATATTCAGTTAAGCTGCTAGATAATTTTTTTATGTATCATGGGGAAGATGCCAATCTCGAAGAAATGGTGAAAATACAAGCCGAAGTACGAGATGCGTATTGCCACACTAAAAAAATTCAAAAGAAAATAACCGATTATTTGAAATATTAAATGTAGTTCTTAAATCTTTATATAAAATATTCCTAAGTAGATGTTAAAATATGTATATAAAATAATTAAATATTACAGAACACATATGTGTATTGCTATTCTTCAAATGCCTATAATTCTTTATCACGAAAAAAAAGCGGTCCCTTCAATTTCGCTATATAGAGTTTTGACTAAATAATTTTTTTTTTGTTAAATTTTTACTTTTGGGACACACTATATTATTATTTTTTTATTTAAATATAATTATTTTAAAATGTTTCTACATTTTGTGTAGTGTTATTAAACCGTTTTCATGATTTAATCAAAAACTGTTTGTAAATATAGAGTTTTTTGTAAACACCCTGTATAACGATTATATTGTATTAAAGTTTGATGTTCGTAATAATTTTTTCTTATTATTGTTGTGTTTTTATTAATATTAAGTAAAATTTATTGGCATTACAAAAAAAGTCGAATTAGTCAAACACCTAGGGTTTCCCTTTTAATAGATGTTATCGTCTTATCGCCCGGTATACCCCGCGAAAAATCTCTCGCGAAACGACGTCCGTTCATCCGGTCACCTCTTTCGCGCCCCAATAGCGTCGATGTATCGGTCCTCGTTGCCGCCGTCCCGAATCGCCATGGCAACCGCGAGGGAACGGGCGGGGCCAACCGGGACGAATCACAGCCGCCACAAACTGATATCAATCGATAACGCGGTAGGCTGCTGTGGAGAGGTGCCGCCGATACGCGAGCCGACTTCGGGTACCTGCGTCACACGTCGGCTGTTGGATTACGCGCGATCGGTTCGATCGAACAATGGCGAGTCGATATCGCGCCCAATAGGGTAACGTTTCGCCAAGCTGCCCTATCCCAAATTACTGCGGATGACTTGGAATACTTTTGAATACTATTTGAACTAATCAAGTGAGAATCAATCACGTTACAGAAGACGTAGTCCTCACACTAAACAAAAAAATAAAATGCCCACCCACTGGAAAACTGTGTCGATTCGTGGCCATTGCGGGATATTTTATGAGTA